CCATTTTTTCCACAATAAAATTAAAGTAAAAGTAGTCGTTGACCAACTCTTCCAGTAGATGGCAGCAAAACTCTTTTACAGTAAAACTCCAGTGTTTTATTGTGGTTTGTTTCTTCCCTAGGATCCGGGCATTAGCAGCACCAGCCCCCCTGGAACATACCCGCCTTTTGAAAACGGTGTGAAACGAGATGTGTTTATTAAGAATGCAACTGGAGACATTCTGATAGGCAAGGTTTGAGCACATTTTTAGATCGTTGTATTGAGACAACAGAGTACTAAGCTCTTCATTTACCTTCATATAAGCTGGGTGTTTGTCCCGTGCACACAGGTTTGGCCCGGCCCAACAGCTTTTCCTGACTTCACCAACCCCGATGCCAGGCGGTGGTGGGAGGACTGCATCAGAGACTTCTTCTCTAAAGTTCCTGTAGATGGTCTGTGGATTGTGAGTACACAATAACAAAGAAGCATACTAAACAGAACATTGGTTTACATCTAAAGGACATATTTAGGCTTAAATCTCTAAAAAATAATTGATATTGTGCTGTTGCTTCCTATCAGGATATGAATGAACCATCCAGTTTTGTCCAGGGATCAGTGGTGGGCTGCCCTGACAGTGAGCTTGAAAAACCACCATACACACCTAGTGAGTGTATTAGATACATGTCACCGGGTTGCAACTATAGTAGCCACAAAAGTATTCACACCGCTTGAATCTGTATATATTTTGGATTTTATTTAATGAACTACCAAAGAGTAATGCACAATAGTGAATAAGCATTTTTAGATTTTTATTTGTGAAATTATTTGAAAATAATGTACTATATCCTTTCACATAACAATTCTTCACTACTTGTGCCACAAAATTCCAATAAAATATTTTGAAATTTGGGTTAAATAAAATCTGCAAAAGTTCAAGCGGTAGCAATACCTTATATATGGAAAAAAAAAAAAAGACATGTTTTTCCCCAGTTAGATTGCTGCTACAAATCTTCTCCAAATATCACACAAACAGGGGTGGTTGGAGGCCAATTGAACTCAGGAACCATATGCATGTCGGCACAGCAGCAGCTGTCCAGTCATTACAACCTGCACAATCTGTACGGATTGACTGAAGCTTATGCAACGCACAGGTCAGACTATGCAGCCATGTTACTATTACTTGAATTGGTGTTATTACAACACCAGTTCAAGAATAAAGAGATACAAGCTGCAATAAAGCAACTTCTTAATATGCAAATGTAGGTATTGTTTTTGCTGCACATTAATCCTGGTTAATCTGTTTTCAGCGCTCTCATGAACATTCAGGGGAAGAGGCCCTTTGTTTTGTCTCGGTCCTCGTTCCCTGGCATCGGGCGGTTTTCTGGAGTGTGGACAGGAGATGTGAGGAGTGACTGGGAGCAACTTCGGTTCTCCATCCCTGGTGAGTAAATGCCAAGTGTCAAAGGTCATGCCAGTGCCTTTTTTGTGGAAATTTGGTCTCAATACAAACTTGCGCCGGATTACAATGATTTCCTTTTGTACTATTTTTTTTTACATAGCCGTGCTGCAGTTCAGCCTGTTCGGAGTCCCCCTGGTGGGAGCGGACATATGCGGCTTTGAAGGCAACACCAACGAGGAGTTGTGTGTGCGATGGATGCAGCTTGGCGCCTTTTACCCGTTTATGAGGAACCACAATGACAAGCCCAATGCTGTGAGACTCAACGTTTATGTGATTGTTTTTATAGTGTAATGGGGATTTGTGAGCGTTTGTTTCACATCGTGAGAAGTTTCCCTGTTTCCACGTGTCCTGTCTCTCAGCCTCAGGAGCCGTTTGTATTTGGGCAGAAGGCCCAAGCAGCCATGCGGAGTGCGTTGAACCTTCGCTACTCCCTTCTCCCATTCCTCTATACACTCTTCCATCGCGCGCACACATCTGCTGACACTGTAGCTAGGCCCGTCTTCATGGAGTACGTACTTTCTTCTTCTGTCCTTTTAACGTAACATGAAACTAAAATATCTCAACCCCTTTTCATTCTTTTCTCTGTGTTTTTCTAACTCTCAGGTTTCCCGCCGACCCTCTTTGTCAGACCACAGACCAACAGTTCCTGTGGGGGAGTTCACTTCTCATCAGTCCTGTTTTAGAGCAAGGAGCAGTAGAGCTGAGTGCATACCTACCAGCTGGTACTTGGTACCAACTGGAGAATGTAAGCTGCAATGCAGTCTTTGTTACTTATAAAAGTGTTTACACCTTTTGAACCTGTTCATATTTTCATTTTACAACCACAAACTTTGATGTATTTTATTTTTTTTCTGGAAATCTTTTTACACAAAAAAATTGGATAAGTGCTTTTGTGTTTAGTTCCCTTTACTCCGAAACTCTCCATAAAGGTCAGCGCAGCCAATTTGGTTCCTAACTCACCGAAAGTAGTAAATGGAGCCCACTTGTGTTTTTTAAATCACAGAATAAAGGTGCTCTGCTAAAATGAGACCAAAATTAAACTTTTTAGGCAAAGTGCAAAACCCCATATGTGGTGGGAAGCCCTCTGCAAAATACGTGAGACTACAATAAAAGATGAAATCATTGTCATGTGTTGGAATGGCCCAGTCAAAGTTCAGTGCTAATTGATAACACACAATGCCTAAAGATTAAAAATCAATTCTTTTCACGGGCTCTCTTTATCCTTTCAGACTGATCTTGAGCTATTTTGCAAATAGTATTGGGCAAAAAAGATCAGCCTTTAAAAGGACAAAGCAAGTAGAGAAATGCCTTGAAAGACAAAATAATATTGTTCTCACTTTTTTAATTGTAAGAAATGTTAAAAGTCATACACAATTTTCTTTACACATCACCATTATGCACTACTACTGCTGGTCTATTAAATAATACCTTGGTAAAACACATTGAAGTTTCTGATTATACAAAATATGAAATGCCAAAATATGTAAAAGTTTACAAGACCTTTCTATTTCACTTGCATCTCTTTTGCTTTCTCAAAGGGTCAGCCGTTCCACAGTAACGGTCAGTACGTCCAGCTATCGGCCCCTCTGGAAACAATCAATGTTCACGTGAGGGAGGGGCACATCATCCCCCAGCAGGTGGGAGTCAGCTCTACAGAATTAGAGAGAAAGTAGTCTGGGTTTTATTTCAAGTTTTGTCTCATCTTTATGGATAAAGTGAAAATTAGTTCCTAGTGTTTTAGTTTACAGGATTTGCTTGATAAACTGCACAAATCAGTTTAGAAGGTTAATTCTGGTATGTTCATTAGCTTGATAGTGTCTTTTGTAACATGTTGCTGTATTTAATAAAAAAAAAAAAAAAAAAATCCTTGTTTGTTTTCTGTGAAGGAACCTGCTTTGACCACCGCAGCTTCACGTGAAAACCATTTCTTCCTGACGGTGGCGCTGTCCAGTGGTGGCTGGGCACGAGGAGAGTTGTTCTGGGATGACGGAGACAGCCTTAGAACTTTTGAAACACAAAATTATTGTTATGTTAACTTCACTGCTGGACAGGTAGGTACAGTGGTTAGCAGAAGTAATGATCCCACTTCAACTTAACCCTTTCGAGACGTTTGAAGTCTGTTAAATGCACCATAAGACGAGAGTGAAGATGTGTTTGATCTGGAAGTTTTAATCGTTGTAAATCCTGAATATGATCAGGTTTTTATTTGGACTCTGACTAACAGATGTGTTTAATTACTTCTGCTTTACTTCAGTCGCAGATAATTAGCGACCCTCTCAACCTCAATGGGGCCTTGGCCAGTCTTCTTCTGGGAGGCCTCCAGGTGTTTGGAGTGCCTTCACAACCTCTTCATGTCTTGGCTAATGGAGAGAAAGTTATAGACTTTACGTATAAGACTGACACAAAGGTGAGTTCTGGGTTAGAGAGTACTTTTTGCTCTGATGCTTTTTAATTACAGCCTTCCAGTTCACCATCTTGCAAACTGAACCACATTTATCTTTGTGCCTGTTCTTGTAGGTCCTAACGGTGACTCGTCTGGCCTTGCCTATGTCAAAGACATTTACAGTCCAGTGGGTTCTATGATGAACCAAATTCGTCCTATTCTTTGCCTTTGGCCTGTGCTGCTAAAATCATCAGCTGCATTATTCTGTCATCATACAAGCAGATTTTTTGTAAAGCCTTTGAATGTAAACTAAACAGCCATTTGGTTTTGATTTTTTTAAAATCAGGATCAGTTAGTGATATATAAAAAGAGTTTTGTAAATATTGCTTTGTAAATAGTGTTTGTAAAATATGCACAAAAAAATAGACATTTTTATCTTGTGATTTTGACCTTGATAAGATGCTGCATTTGCTTGCTGATAACACTTTATTACTCCTCAAAGTCAAGTCATTCCACCCTAAAAAGAAATCTATATGAAAAAAAAATCAAATTACTAAGAGAATTGGCCCTCACAGAATTTATGGATTTATAAATTTCATAGTATCAGAGTAAAGACAGATTAATCCAAATACATGCCACTCTTTCATCCTCTTCTTTGAGCTGATCTAGTAAACAAAATCTTACTGAAATTTAAGATTGTTAGCTGAACATTTCTGAAAAAATATCCCACGTTATGCATATGTTTTGCAGGGCGCTGTTGTATTTTGTTGTCAGGAACCGGTTTTAAACAGGCAGCTGAAGACGGCAGAAGTGTGATGATGCTCTGAATCCAGCTCTGGTCCTGATGGTGGACCAACTGAAACCCAGCACTCATCGAAGACCTTTAAAACGTAACTTGCATGACAAAGGATCTAAAATCCATCATAAAATCCCAAATTTCCAGTTATGTGTCAGTAATACTACGTGCCGGAAGTAGCTATATATGCGCAGTGATTGGTTAGGGGCTGTGACGTGAAGTCAAGGCATGAAAGAGGCAACTATATTTCAGGAAGTCAAAACCGTTGTATTTTACATTAAAGTGTCAAGCGTGTTTCAAACATAAATGCATATGACTTCTTTAAGGTCATTTTAATTTGAAAGTCCAGAGCGGAAGTGTATACTTTTGCCATTGAAACAGCAGCAGTTAGGCGTGCGGCGGCGGCTCGTACAGTGATAAACCTCTGCGATAAAAAAAAAAGAGAGAAAAGAAAAAAAAGAGAGCTGAGTTGATATTAAACCGAGCTAAACCCGTGGAAAGGAGCCGAACCCAGGCCCGGTTCGTAGCGCTGGGTCTCTGTCCGCTTGCAGAGATGGTTGTCCGGAGTGGGCTGTAGATTCCTGCGGCGGGACTGAAGGTGAGAGCTCTCCATGCTGCTGCTATATCTGCTCATTTATTCCTGTCGCTGGAGCAGGTGTATGCACACCAGTCACTGTATCATTCACTGTGGCCGATAAGCATGTATGTTTTTCTACATTATGTGTTTTGGAAGGAGCCTCAGGCTCTTGACAGCTAAAATATTCACGTTAGAGGTGGTACTGACACAGAGTCCCTGCTCGGACATGTAACCCAGAGGAACTAATGTTAGGCCTGGTGTAAATAGCCTTGTCCATCTGCTGCTGTCAGGCGGATGCTGCCGAGGCTTGTCCCGCCATAAGCAGGCTGACAGGGAGAGAACATCCTCACTCACCCAGCAAATGCTAAGAATTGCTGCTGAGAAAAATGCAGATGCTGGATTCCCATGTTGAGACTTCTCCCTTGTTCGATCTTTAAACGCATCAACATAATAAGTATTTTAAATAACTTCAAATTAATTTAATTTCACTTTGGTTTATGAATGGTTTGCTAATGTGGATTTTCTTACAATGAAAAGAAGACTCCAAAATTGAAAAAACAACAACAAAAAAAATACCTCTCTTGTTAAAGTCGACACCCTCGAGTCCACAATTTAAAGTGTATCTAACCTCCATATTAACTTTATGTTGCTGATAAACTGTTTAATTATTTAGCACTCCATCTTTATGTTTTCTGTGCAAATTTTGGCTTTTTGTTTTTGGGTAAATTTGTTTAGTTCTGCAATATTTTACCTAAAACCGCCTCAGTGCTGGCCTCCTTAGGTCGAACAGTGCCTAAGCAGTTGAATTTTCCTATTGGTTGCGTCGGTACAGCTTAGTACAACTTCATCACAGTCTCAGTTCGGGTATGAAACCATCTCACTCACTGCGTTGCCTGGTGGAGAGTCAGGAGTTGGAATAGTGTGTATGGATGTGGCCAGTTTTGAACGATGGCGTTACTCAGCTTAGCAAATGTGTGATTTATTTCCAGTGTGGACACGGAGGGAATGGCTCTCCTCTGCTCTGACTTCTGACGGTTATTCTGCAGGACAGGAAGACCAACCACCCTGTTTTCTCCCTCCGCTCAACCCCACGCTTTTTTGGACTTTTTCAAAATTTGTCTGGGGATGGGGTTATGCTCTCATAGAGGGGTCAGTCACACTTTAACCCTGCAAATTATGTTTCACCTTGTGACGTCAATTCCCATAAACCATAGAAGGGAGTGTTTTTTTTGTTGTTGTTTTTTTTTTTTTTTTTACATTTGGCTTTTGGGGCAATAGGAAAAGCAAAAAAACATTTTAAAATATATTTATCCTTGGTGAAATCAAGATGTTTTGTTTATTTTGTTTTCTAATGTAGCTATATATACAACAAGCAAAAAAAATTGCTTGTTGTGGTGACTGAATTTTCTCACTGCAAACCAGTCATAGAAAAACAAAGCATAAAAAAAAAATACAAAAATTTTTACTTTGAAATATAAATATCAAATTGAAATTCCAGCCTTTCTTCTTTTTAGTTGCCAGGAACAGATACTAAAAGACTATAAAGTTGGTTTTGTTTCTGTTTACATATGTAAAGTGATAAAAACTTAAAAAAAAAATGCACTACCTTTCTAATATTCTACACCTTGTACTTTTGATTCACAAATTTTGACAAACTCCTATCTTAGATATGTAAACTTGTTCAAGATTTTTCCTTCATTATTATAACAATTTAAATAAAAGCTGTGATGATGATAAAGAAGCCAGGTGCTATCGTACACCTAATGCTTTACGACAATATGCTAGTGACTATCTCAGCTGTCTAACTTCTGCAGGGCTGTACATTCTGCTGTTCAGTTTGCAGTTGAGTTTCTAGGTCTTATTTGGATTTAATTGCTGGTTCTGAACCTTTATGAGATGCTGTATATTAGCTTATGACATAATTGTCAAGATAACATTCCTTCTGAAACAGGAAACATGTTTTTGAAGCACCCAAAAGAGTTTCCTCATGACACGGAGTCCATAAGGATCTCAGGGTGATCTGTTTTCAGCTGCCCCAGGCAACCTCGTGGATAGTGGATATGAAAGAGAGATCTTCCATTCACATGTCAACAGAAGTGAGAAGCTATCTGGCTGCTGCCCTCGCAGCTGAACTTTCTTTGTGTAGTTTTTATTCTCTTATTTAAGGTTACAAAAAAATATGTCAAGAGAGTTGGTTAAGAAGAAGTGGGTCAAAATGTTCCATCGATAATCGCACAGAGGAAGTGAATCTAGGAAGGCGTCTCACTCCTGAGATGTCTGATGAAACGCAGAAAGGTCAGAGGGGAGAGTCCGTCTGTGGGCACATTGAGGTGATGACGGGATTAAAGATGGAGTGAGAGCAAGAGGCCGCTTTTTCTTATCAGCCTGTGTGAACCTGAATCTGAACCTGGCACTGACCCCGGTCACCCCGCTGCATTGAAGCTCGGCAGTAAATAGCTCCTCGTTGCTATGAAGCGGCAGAAAACTGTGATGTGAAAAGATCTGAATTCCACATTAATCAGAAAGTTCACATGGGGTCAGCCAACGGTTTTCATGCAGGACAGCTGCTGCTCTTACCCTTTCATAACAGCAAGGAGTTTTGTGTGGTGTTATTTGATGAAGCTTGCGCAGTAAATTCATCGATCTGGGGCGTTGCTGTGCTTAGATTTAGTTTAATAAGGTGGCATTCAGGATAGAGAGGCTGCAGCACTTGTCTATAAAAGTTTATTTGATTATTTCAAACTCGGTCCAGTTGATGTGCAATGATGCAGTCAGACTTGATCTGAATTAAATTCATTATCTAGTATATTTCAGTACAACAGAAAGTATTTCGTAGTTCAGTGTTTCTCTGTTTATTAGTATCCGTTTTCTGGACACAGCCAGTTGACAAAAACTATTGCTGCCATTATCTCCTGTGTTTTGCACAGACTAAATTGTGGTTACTCTCCTTGTTTTTCTGCCCTGTAGAAAGTACTCCTTGTACTCCTTTCTCAGTACTTCTGTGGCTAGCCAGCCTTTTTTTCCTCCTGGACAAACATTGACCAAGCATATTCTTTTATCACCAGTGCATATTCGCTGCCATTACTGATGTCGACAGTTTTTCCTTGTCTTTGAAAGTACTCCTCCCTCTGTGCTATTTTGCTGAGCTGTGTATTTTTTCCTGGATCAAGTCAATTGACTAAGCTATCACAGAAAGTATCCCTGGCTAAGTGCTTCTTTGTATAATTGTTCTTTTTATTCTAGATTGAGCTATTGATTGAAACCTTTCTGACATGAAGTGTGTGCACTCTCTGTATACACACAATTTTTAAAATCTCCATAGAAAGTGCTTCTTTTTTTACCGATGGACTAAGCTGAGCAATCAACAAAGCTATTGCTGTCAGAAGTTTTCTTGCTTCTGTGTTTAGTTGTCTTTTTTCCTCAGCCCAACCTATGACCCTGCTGTCACTATCTAAATGTGCTCTGTTTATTCCTCTTTCTGTCGAAGGTAATCCTCGCTGTTAAACTGTTTGTGTTTGATTCTTTTCCCCCCTTTATCTACTCCCTATTCTCTCAGCTTCCAGCCAGTCGTGTCTTATTGCACACTTCCACTCTCGCTGCTGGGGGGCTTCTTCTTGTTAAGAGACTCGATGCATTTTGCTTGGTTCTTCAACTTTTTAAAAATTTTTTTTAACAGTTTGCATCCAATTATCTGTTTTTAATTTGATCTGATTAGTTCAAATATTTTCTTTAATTTTGCATTAACAAATAATCAAAACTTTAAGACTTACTTTTAGATATGAATCGCAGGCCAAGCTTACCAAGGTTCTTGAGATAGAAGACACCTTTTCTGTGCCAACGGTAAATCTCTGACCTAAAACGCAGCCACACTTCTACTTTCTTTTAAAAGGAAGTGAAATGATTGCCAACCACATAGCTTCTCTTTGAGTTAATGCCCAGATCTTGTGCTGGTAGGCTTCCTGTGCGAGGCTTGGCACCAGGAAGTGGGGTGCCAGCTTAATCAAGTGGTGGTAAACATGCTCCCCTCCCCGACCCCCCACGTTCTTTTCCCTGAGGAAAAAGGAGGGAACATTCCTGAGATAGAGTGGGGAGTATGTGTCAGAGTGTTCAGCCAAGTAAGGAGCAAGGTTACACAGATATGACTCTGATCCAACATGGAGAACGTGAACCATACAAGAACAGATCAGTGGGATGGACTGATTAAAAAAAGCAGAAGCTAAAGGAACAACTGTTTGACTTTAATTGCTTTATGTTTTCTTTTAACACTAGAGGATAAAAAAAATTAAAACCAAAGGAGTTCCTTCTGTTATAAGCGAAAGTTTATTTGATCCCACAAAGCTTTCTCCTGAGCGGACAGTTCAAACTCAGGCAGCGTGACCCGCTGGTCCCAGTTCAGAGCTCGACGTGGACGACATCTGTTGGCTCCTGATAACAGCTTGGAATTTCACACAGATGGAGCATAGTGTGTGTTTGCTCACTGTCTGTCCATCACTGTGTTTCTCTGCTGTTTGCAGAAGGTGGGAAACATTTAGTCACGCACAACTATGACACACACACACACACACACATGCAGGAGCTGAAGCTGCTTTAGTAGATGCAGGTGCACGGCTCTGAGAAACGCTGAACAAGTCAGGAGAGGTGAGAGGGGAGCTCTGCAGTAAGGACACTGCAGTAAATAATAGCACACGTGTGTCTGAGGAGGGGAAGTTTGTTGAGGATTTCTGCAACTGCAGAGCCAGGAATGGGTTGCATTTGACCTTAAACTCTACACCTCATCTGTCTTTTTTTTAAGTTTTTACAGAGTCAGCCATCGTTAGTGGAGCTCATAGTAAAGTAATTTGATGTTTAATTCCGTCAAAATAATAAAAAACCCCAGCCTTTTAATTTGATCATACCTATTCGGTGGGAAGGAATAATTGTTTTTGACATTTAAGTTTATCAGAATCTCCTGGAACGTTTTTAATCAGTAACTCATCCCCCCACCGGAGGATCATTACCTGTGCACTTTGTTCATCTATATTGCACATAGAGCTGACTTTTTGTATTTTTTTCCCCATACATTTGAATTCACTGTAAAAAACAAACAAACACAGAAACTGAATTAATTAGGTTAATTAATTAGGTTTGCCAAACATTTGTTTGGGTCAGAGGTCCATAGTTGTGGTCTGAATCTGGACCCTGGGTTTTAACGGAGGGATTCGTTTTCAACCTGCGCTTTTTAAATCATATCTATGGTAGTTTATTTCTGGACGCACTGCTTTTTCTGCCCTTATGACAGCTGTAGCAGAAAGATTGGTATAGTTTGCTTCAGAATTAGAAAGACTGAGGCTTTTTTAATGTTGCTCTAGTGAAGCCCAAACGACGCAGCGTTGAAGCTTTTGACAAAATAAAAAATAAAAATTAGCTTTATAACACTGTCCTCTTTGGTGGCACCTGGTGGTCAAAAGTAAGAAGAGCAGCTTGAAGCTACTGTCTAAAATGGGCTGCTTTATTTGGTTGGCTTCTCTTCAGAGTTCAGTTGACGGCTTCTGGTTTTGTTGGGGTGACAATTGAGCTGTGCTTTCTAAAGATGGAAGTAAGATTGATCTTTTCAGTGGCAACCATTCGAGGTGGGTCTTTCCTAAGATAATCTGCGTTGCTGTAGCTCTGGTTCCCATCCCTGACATCCTTAGAGTGCATGGCATCACAATTCTTGGAAACACTTGAAATTTTAAATAGCAATCATGTCAGTTCATTGAAACTGGGTCAACATGATTTTGCCTGATACTCAACCTTCTTCTCTGGGCTCCATCCTTGTGAAATGCCACACGAGGCTCTAACGTTGCCTCTCTCTGCTGTCCGTCTCCTTTCAGAGGATGGGCTCAGTGTCCCAGTGCCTGAGGAGATGTCTCTGGGTCGGCTCCTTCGGCGCGCCTCCTCCAAGGCGTCCGACCTCCTGACCTTAAACCCCGGGGCGGGGGGCTCATCGTTGCGCTCGGGGCTGGATGGCGAGATCATCTTCTCAAAGAATAATGTTTGCGTGCACCCTGCGGAGCCCCTCCCGGGCCTGGCTGAGCACCACCCAGGTTTGGCTGCACAGATACAGAACTACCTGCTTTTTGTTACACCTGTTTATCATGGAGAGCTCTGTCGAGGTTGGAGGTTATTTGGCTGTGTCTAGTATGACAATAGAGATGCGTTGTACTTTAACAATTACCTAAAATGTACAAAATAATAAATTATTATGGACAGTAATAAGTAAGCATACAGTTTCAATTAGAAGTACACTCCAAATAAAAGTGAACAAATGTCCTGATCATTATGGGAGTGTGCATAATTGTTTATTTTTTATGAGACTTTTTTTTAGTGTTGAGTTCACCTGAAACATTTTTAAAAGAGTGATTTTCTTTTGTAAAGAAAATCACTCTTAACGCCAACATGGTTTTTGTTGCCCCCTGCAGGCTACCTGTGCGTACACGTGGAGAAAGACGAGTGCCTGGGCTCCACGCTGATTCTGACGTGGGTGCCCAATTCCCGCATCCAGAGGCAGGACGAGGAGGCGCTGAGATACATCACCCCGGAGAGTTCTCCTGTGCGCAGGAACGCCCGCCGCAGAGGCAGGAGGTACGAGGGTGGGGACCAGATCAGTGCATATTAACACAATATGGGTACATACTGAAAATAAAGACGCATATAAAGGAGATTAGGTAACGCTTTATTTGACAAGGTATACATAAGACTTACATGACACTGTCATGAACATGACGTAACATAAAGAAGTTTTTATGAATGTCTGACTGTTTTCATGAAGTGACATTCGGTAAATAATGACACTTTTAATGCAAAGTTGCTTAAAAGTTGCATTAAAAGTCCATTAGAAGTGCCAACTTTGTATTATTTTGTAAATAATGACTCTTTAATGCAAAGTTGGCACTTTTAATGGACTTTCAATGCAACTTTTAGAGCAACTTGGCAGTAAAAGTGTCATTATTTACCGAATGACACTTTATGACCACAGTCGTAGACATTTCATAACAGGTGTTATGTCGTGTTTATGATATGTCATGTCAGTCTCATGCACACCCCGTCAAACAAAGTATTACCGGAGATTATGTTGGCGATGTTTCGAACTAACCGTCCTCTGTAGGCCGCGCTCACGTCCTCCAGCCGCCGCTCCAGAGGAAGAGGAGGACGACGAGAGGAACATCACCAGCAGCACCTCCGCCCAGAGCCTGGTGGGTGAGAGCGGCTCAGATCCTTCCTCTAACCAGCAGCAGCTTCTTTTAGCCGGGGAGGAGGGTGACGAAGGCTCCTACGAGCTGTCGGACGAGGTGAGCCGGGACAGCACCATGGGCTCCGACTCGGACACCTTCTCCTCGCCGTTCTGCCTGTCGCCCGTCAGCGAGGCTCTGTGTGAGAGCAGCGGCTCCGTCTTCCTGGACCCTGAAAGCAGGTCAGTGAGACAGTGGATGACATGTGTTTGAGGTCTTTTTTTTGTAATTAGTGCTGCACAATATATTACAAATATATTGTCCTTGCAACATCAGTGTATAATATTGTTTTAGAAACATCTCGCTCATTGTACTTTTTTATTACAATTTGGGAGGGGAAAATATGATTGTTTCCTGAAGATGCATACTAGTTTTTACAGTATTTGTGTACTTACAACTCATAGGTGTTGGTAGTAGATGCATTTTTTGGCTCCTGCCCTGTTTGTAGTTTTCAGCCAATTTTCCCTTCATTGCCTCTGATCGGTGACTGGCAGATTAAATACTTATATGTTGTGTTTCTGTTTTTACTTTTTGTATGTTCATAGGCCTGTCACAATAACAAATTTTGCTGAGCGATTAATTGTCTAAACAATTATTGCGATAAACGATAATATTGTTTCAAGACCTTTTGACACTGATTTAATGGAAATGACGTAATAATGCATACAATTTCCTGCCATAGATAGATGCACTTTATTTTCAAAAGAACACATAACACTGGAACTGATAAACTACATAAACAAAACAACCAAAAACAAAAATAAAATGGATTATCAGTCTCCATGAACAAAAAACGTACTTGAATAAAAACTTAACAATATAAAGCCAAAGTGGAAATAAATACTGCATTCAACCAAGAGTGCAGATTATGAAGTCTGTATGTGCCCTTCAGTAATCACTAGATTTAAATAAAGAAGATGGGCACATCCGACTACCTGATGCAATAGTTCATACTACATGGGTTTTTGCCCCTATTTTCTTAGATCGTTGGCCGATCTAAGATTCTCGCTGGTGATTTCGTAACCGATCATCCTGCAGTGTGTGGTGGGTTACAGTAGATCGTCGTGGCCGCTCCGATCTAAATCAGGGGTTTTCCCCGACTGGGAGTGTAAAGCTGAATGTGACAGGTAGCCAATCAGAAAGCGCAGATTCTCCTCCTGATTTCTGAGGAGAAATTATGGAGGGGAATCCCAAACAGCTTACACGGCGCAACCGAAGTCCAGCGGACATCAGAGATGATATGTGGAAACAACATTAAGATTTATTCAACATTTCGAGAAAGAATATAAAAATGACAAGGGGAGGAGTTGGCGCCAAATCGCTACCGCAGTTGATAAACCCGGTATGTTTTCAGCTGTTCTTCGTTAACGTGACATAAATAGGTTATAATGATTTTCATTCAGTCAGGACTTTACGCTGACTCTAGCCACATGCATCACTGGTAGATTCTAGTAAAGCATTGATTAATGCCTGATTTTAAAATTAGTTAACTGGACTTGTAGCCGTTATTTTGTGTCCATGTGGCCGGACACCACATGGCACGACGAACCCGATTGAACCATTATACCTAGGATTTCTGTCAGCTAATGTGTCTCTCAGATTTTGAGAACAACTCGTGTAGTGTGAGCTGGACATTACACTTAAGGAAATGAGGAAGGGAGGGTCAGTGGAGAACACCGGAGCTGAGCCTTTTTTCATTCAGTGTCATCAACAGAAAGAAAAAAAGACAGGAAGAGACGATAAAGCCGATAATTAAAATGAGGTCGATAGGTTTAATTTATCGTGCGATTAATTGATTTATCGTTTATCGCGACAGGCCTACATGTTCATTAAATACATCAAACGCCTCAACCAATTGCATTTACTTTGCTGTAAATGCAATTTTTAAAACACCACATCTATTAAAAGTCTTATAACACACAGTTTTTCGTAAAGTATATTATAATATAAAATCTGTATTTTGTACTTAGGTTATCTTTGCTGGATAGTATAAAGTTTTTTTTGATGATCTGAAACACTTGAGTGCAACAAAATGAACCGGCAAAAACAGAATCTATAAGGTTGCAAATACCTTTACATAGCGCTGTAAGGAACCTTCCTTTAGATAAACGATAAACAAATAAATAAAGTATATATATATATATATATATATATATATATATATATATATAAAAAATATAATATTGCTTTTTCCTCATATTGATAGAAACTTTAACACAAAACAGATTGTATAATTTTCTTCTCTTTTTTTTAACTTTAAATCTACAAAGTTGGCTAAAAATTAAGCATTAATTTAATAAAACATGTTGGGTATTTTATTGTTTTACTTACTTGCTTTTGATTATATAGAAAATGGAGAAGCTTGCATTCCTTAACACTGGATTCATTGTTTTCCACAGAGAGTCATTATGGCACAAAAGTTCTATCAGACAAATCTGACCAAAAGTTTTACATGTTTAAGACTTGATGAGTGTTTTGTTTCAGTAAACCTTTATATGCACTTAGAACTTCAGAGATTTGATATTGAGATCTTTATAAAATCCTGTTATCCAACTCACGTCTTCTTGTCTCAAAATTAGTGAATCCCAACTGATATAACATTAAAAGTGTCATAAGTGTCATATAAAGTTGTGTTTAATGAAATCAGAGGTGCCACTAATTTTCCCTAGTTGCACACATTGGCTTTGATCAACTTTTAGATGGTGTGCCACTAACTTTCTCTGAATATGCTTCCTATAAGTTTACTGCAAAAGCAGTTTCTAAAGACATCCAACTGTTTTAAATTGGAGATTAATATATGAAGAGGTAGTAATAACTTGCTGTGTAACTAACTGAAACCCTGGTTATAATTTGTTGTAATATTCAGCCAGTTGTCCTTCCTTCAGTTGCTCTGACCGTCCAGCAGGTGGAGCCAGAAAGAAAAGAATTGAAGGCATTTGGAGCTGTTTTTATCCTCAGGCCACATGGTGCCTCCAGGCTCTGCAGCCCGAGGCTCCTGAGGGACTGAGAGCAGGTAGATGACTTCAACAGGAGGGATGAGAAATATTTTAGACTTATTCGAAGCAGCTCACAGGAACACTGATCGTTTCCCCCCATCCGAAACTTAAACACTGCCGAAACTGTGGTGCCTGCGCAGACTGCTCTCTAATCAGGGGGAGCCATCTGGACAGCGATTGTGTTGCTGTTTGGACCTCAGAGTCATTTAATTTTATGATTCCCTTCGTGGTTGTTTCCTCACGCAGCTATTCGGCCTGACATGCAGCCCAGAATGTGTGTGCCTGTGCAGAGAGAGTGAGTCAGTCAGCGTGTGCGTGCCTGTGTGCCTGTGTGTGTGTGTGTGTGTGTGTTTGAAGCATTTTTAACCTCTTTTTCTGACCCCAGCTGGCCGTAAGCACAGTCAGTGTGTGACTTGGCAGTGTTGTCCGCCCCGCAGATTCAAACCTTTACTCTTCTTTGCTGTTAGAGTTTCTGTTTTTGCAACTCTTTGCCACTCGGATGTTTTTTCCCGTCCATCACTTTCCGCCACTATCTACTTTGCATCTTTTCCTCTTCTTTTACTTGAGCCGTCACCCACCTCTCAGGTCTCTCACCCTCACACGCACACAAACTCCTCCACCTTTTTCCCCTTCTCTTCCTAAAGTGTGTGTGAAGCCCTTTGATTCCCGCTGCTCCCAGGGTTGTTGTGCTGGGCTGAATGTCAGCTCTCCGGATTAGAGCGCTGAAGAGAGCGGAGTGGCAGCCAAAACCCTGGAACCCACTCAATCTCTCTTTCTCTCTCTCTCTCTCTCTCTCTCTCTCTCGCTCGCTCGCTTGCTTTAATTGACACTAAGGGGCCAGGAACTGGAAACATGTCACTTGGAATCATTCAAAGAGAACGAACTGCGTATGGGAGAGTGAGAGTGGATGAAAAGGGGGGCAGGAAAAGAGGAGAGGGGAGGGAGGGAGCAAAGAAGAAATCCACAGCAATGTCTGTCAAGATTCTTAACAAGTTTCTTTAAAGTTTAACTGTAGATTATGGAGCTGTCAGTGTGTACTGCCTTCCCAAGGCTTTACTTAAGGAACGTGAACATGTGATTAAAGCTCAGCGCATTGGTTTGCTATGGTGTTGACTTCTGACTTTAGAAAATGAGGCAAGTTCTGCTCGTAAACACTTATCAGTGCAGCTCACAACTAGCATAATAAAGAGGCTTTAAGCCACCTCTGATTTTTTGTCATAATTTGTCAGTCTTGTAATCTTTAATAAGTACTTTATTTGAACTCTGTTCTTACTCTGTTTTTGTTCAGATCATTTTCTTAAACCACTTAGCTCTGACCTATTAGAGAAGATTGATCAGAACCACTTTTAAAAGACTTTAAACTCTGGCTTAGCAGAGTAAAAGCATAAAGTTTAAAACTTTTGCATAGTGCTTTGTAAAATTATTAATACTATTTGAACTTTGGTGTGGTGCTGTGTTTGACTCTGATGGCTCTAAATAAAACCCATAAAAACCAATTGTCTAAATTTGTCCTATTGGGCCATGGTAGCTCTGAAATAGCTGCCGCTTTCCACATGTCAATGATGTCAAATTTTCAACCTGAACCATGGGGAAGTGTGGTGGTGACGGCATCATGCTGAGGGCATGCTCTGCGTCAGCAATGAAATGCTGGTGAGAGAGGATGAAGATGGACAGAAATAAACCTGTTAGAAGCAACAAAAAAATGTATTTATTTATTTATTTTTTTACAGATGTTTCCCGTCCAATCTGACTAAATTTGAGCTATTTTGCAAAGAATAGATGAAGGTTTTAGTTTATGAAAAGCTGGTAGAAACACGGCCCACAAGCCTTCAGCCACAATGGCAGTAAAAGGCATTTCTGGAAAGAACTGACTACCAATCCATGCCACAATACAAGATTCTAATTTCTAAAAAACATAAAAGCAGCAGCATACTGTTTACGTTTCACTTCACGACGATGCACTATTTTGTCGAAATCGCTCGCCAAAATACTTTGAAGTTTGTTGCTGTAAAAGCGATGCGATGCGAAAAGCAGCCGGATTACTTCTGCAAAGTGTTTTTAAGCGACCTGCTGTTTAGTTTAAACTAATGTTCTTGAAAACAAATCTTGACTCATGATGCCATTAAAGTTTCCATCTGACTTTTATGTGCGTCCGTTTGGGATTATTGGTGGATCACGGGTTCTGGCATGCCTCGCTGACCGTTTTCCAGCATATGGCTGCAGTGTGGCCCACACCACCACCACCACCCCCGCCCTCTTGTTCTCCTCTGACACTCTGTTCCTTTTGGGGATTAGATGAAGGACCTGGAAGTCCCGGCGGGGGTTAGGGAGGCGGGAGGGTGTGTGTGCTCGGCCGTGGTTCTCAGGGTGACCTGGCAGCACTTTCCTCTGGAGAGGAAAAGTGTTATGATGAAAGGCCTCGGGGCCGTTCCGTTTCGCTCTGGCCTGATGGGACGTGCCAGCTACAGCGGCTCGACGAGATCAAAACAGCTTGTTTACACTTTGCACAGCGTGGCCTGATAAATGTTTAGAACGGGCTCGTTAATTCCGACATAAGCTTGCGTCTGTAGTTTTCAGCGTGATCCGTGCTTTTCGGTCCATTCCCTTGTTTTAGCACTTTTATGTGCTCCAAGCATGAAGGACAGTTGGAATTAACAAGACTTGAAGGGCCTTGTAAACACTCCTAACTTGACAGTCACTGGGGTTATGAAGACAGGACTCCCTCCATATTTCATGTTACTTAACTCCCTTAGCAGACCTCGTTGTGCCTCTCCTCCATCCCCCCCCCGCCATCTCTCTACGGTTTGCTCTGCGCCGCGATACACGAGACGGAGCGCAGTAAATCAGCCGATAACACAGGGAAACTGTGCAGCCTGGATTGATCAGGCTTGTTATTTTCCCATCTGCTAACAGGGAAATGATTAGCCAGACATGACAGAGACGGGGTGGAAAAAAATCAAACTGGCTGCACCCTTCTCGCATGAGCACCAAGCTGCCACATGTGTTCGCACCTTTTCAGTAAATAATGTCAAAACTATTTCGCTGCTGGAAGATAATTAGTTTTTCATGCCTCCGATATTTGAAATGGCATTTTTAAATTGAGGAACATCTGGTTTTTGGTTTTCTGTCGGTGCGTTTCCGTGCAAGCAGTGCTGAAAATCTTTATTCAGACGCCTGATTCTAAAATGTCAGTGGATTTAACACGTCTCCCTCTCTCCGCTTTACCATGTCTAGATTCGTGTTTGAGAGTGTATTATGGTCATTAGCCATGGTTCATTCACTTATGTGTGTGTGTGTGACAAAGAGAGAAAGACTCAGAGTAAGCAAGTGATTTAAAGCTTCTTATAATATATTTTATTGTTGTGTGCTATGCATGTTTTTGCCAATATATTTTCCCAGTTTTCCTGCATATTTCCATGTATCTGTATGCATAACATGTGATTGTGTGTCTCCTCCTGCAAGCCGAGGAACCCTGAGCTCAGGTTTCAGTGCCGGGAAAAACACACTTACCATGAGGGGAATGACGAGGGAAATTGGACGGTGGACAGTGTGATTTGTGTGTGTGCGCGCACGCTCAGATTTTATTGTATGTATATGTGAGTGTGTATTTGTCTTTGGTAGCCTTCATGCATTCCTCCTATTCGCAGCCTCTTGGAGGAATGTAATAGAGACGCAAACACAGATGCAGTCCTGAGCTGCAGATTTCACATGTTGCTTGGAATTATTTCGACAAAATAATACAAAATGTGCAATGAATTTTAAGAGAAATTGACTGATTTTATTTTTAAGTGTTTTTTCCTGTGTTTTATCCTTACATTTTTTTGTACTTGCAATTATTTTGATGAATTTTTTTTTGGTTCGATGACATACTGACGTCCTCAATAATGAAACGTTACAGCGTGTTTACACCCGTTGGACTCTGTCACACACAAAATAGTGAGTAACCAAATGAAAATATGAAAGGTTTTGCATGCATGTGTGTACAGCAAACTAAATCAGTACTTTGCAGAAACAGCTTTTGCTGCAGGGACTCGCAGCAAAGCTGGTAGGATTTGTCTCTAGCAGTTTTACTTTTATACAGACTGAAATTTCAGTCCATTCTTCTTTGCAAAATAGCTCAAGCTCTGTCAACAGAGAGCGTCTCTGAACATCTGTTTTCATATTTTGTCACAGATTCTCACAGATTTCAGTCTGGGCTTTAACTGGGCCACTAAAAATATAGCTCCGGCCATATGTCTTAAGGTTGTCCTGGATAGCGAACATCAAGACTTTTGCAGCAGGTTTTTCTTCCTGACTTTCTTTTTTAATAGCATCCGTTTTCTTTTAACTCCTTCTTTTGGCTAAAGAAAAGCATCCACGCCGCATGATGCTGCCACCAAAATGTCTCATGGTGAGAATGGTATGTTCAGACTGAGATGTAACAATGGATGTTTTTTTTTTTCAACTAATAAAACATTAGCAAAAATGTTTATTTGTATCTGAAGAAAGTCTGATACAATAAGTCATTTTCGAAAGGGAAACAATTATTTTAAACAAAATAAGTATCATGAGTAATCAAATAACAGCTTTGATTTAGCAACTTTTTATTATATCATGTATCATCATGTTGTAATCATCATATGAAAAAATGTGTCTTTACAGGCATGTAAAGATAGTCCACACAAGCATTTAGCAGTAAGTTTTTGAAGTATACTACACTTTATTCCACAGAATGTGTAAGGGATAATCAGCAACATATTTACTGTTTACAGCAGGTTTGCTGGAATGCACTAAACGTTTTTAACACTCTCAAGGCATCTGAAGAACTTATGTCAAAAATGACACGTTAGGCAGTGAAGGGTTAGTTGTACTAGATTTCTTTTGGAGGCATCAGAGTAAATAGAGCTGAAGATAAATACATCCCATACTACTTCAATTCAATTTGTATGATTTGAAAATCACTTCAAATTTGTGCTCTGTTTTTTTTGTTTTGTGTTGGTTTGTCATAAAATTGCGTAAAAGACATTCAAGCTTGTGGTTTTAATGCAGCAACGTGTGGAAACGTTCAATGAATACGGACATCTTTATGGGGGACATGTGGGGCACAGTGTGAAACTCGTTAAAGTCTCGGCCATGTTTTCACAGGGAACTGTGCGAGGAGTCCATGAACCACTCTGTGAGCTCCGCGTCCAGTCTGGACAGCCACGCCCCGTCCGAGGGCGGCGGCCAGTCGCAGGCCATGCGCTGGGAGGAGCAACAGAAGCTGCTGGCTCTGGAGCAGCTGTGTGGAGTCTTCAGGGTGGACCTGGGTCACATGAGGTCACTGAGACTCTTCTTCAGGTCAGCAGGGAGCAAATGGAAAAAAAAATTCCCTGGGGGGAATCATTACAGGGTCATGAAGTTGAACCCCTTGTGAACTTGTCTTTGCATCACTTGTTGTTTTGTTGCAGTGATGACGCGTGCACTAGTGGCCAGCTTGTGATAGCCAGCAGGGAGAGCCAGTATAAGATCCTTCACTTCCACCATGCTGGTCTGGACAAGCTGGCCGAGGTCTTCCAGCAGTGGAAATGCTGCAGGGAAACCCAACCCAAAGACCAGGTCAGACTTAGGCGAAGGGCAACCTCTCTTTTGGGTCTTCGTTGGCGAAACTTCCACTCGGCTTTTTACTCCTCTCCCTCACTCTGTCTGAAGGTGTCGGATGAAAAGTCCTGCATGCAGTTTTCCATCCAGAGGCCCACACTGCCATCAGCCGAGACGCACCCCGAGGAGAGGCTTTACAGGCGGGTGGACGTCGCCGCCTGGCTGCGTCACATCAACCACAGCGGGCAGGTGGAGGAGGAGTACAAGCTGCGGAAGGTAAATCCACGGTTCATACGCACGCTTGAAGAATCTGGAAATGCGACTTCAGCGTTTTCCGGGATGGCCGCACATTTGGTGGCAAAGGCTGCCGTGCAGCAAGAAGGTCCTGCGCTCGAGTCTGAAGCTGTGCGTTTTTCTGCTTTGAGTGCATTGGGTTCTCTCCGGGTACTCTGGCTTCCTCACACCGTCCAACAAAAACAAAAGAAAATAGCCCTACCCCACGATCCTGCAAGGATGAGCGAACGTAGACAATGGATGTGTGTTTTCCATTTCTGGAAAAAAGGAACATGCAAGCCTGGACAAATAGTTGTATGTTTGGACTTTATCTCCTATCTTATCATCTAAATATTGTCTCCCTCCTTCTTTGTGTCCTTCTTTGATTCTTCTTTCCCTCCCTCTCTCATGCTCTTCCTTCTTCTGTGTTTCTTATGTTTGTCCTTCTCGTTTGTCTTTCTTTCTCTCCTTTTGTCTTACCTTGACTCTTTCTATCCTGATTTACTCCACACCTTGTTTCTTTATTTTCATAATAACCCGTTGTCTGTCTCTGTCCGCTTTCTTGTGTCCACCCTACCTCACTTGGGTCCCAACTCTTTTCTTTTCTTCCTTCCTTACATTTTTTGCATCTTCTAAACTCTAGAAAGTCGGGGCTCCTTCCCTCTGCATTGTATGGATGAGAAACCAAGTCAGAGCGTGTTTCACTACTGATGAAAGTGGCCATTTTCACACCTTTTTCTTCTATATTTGTTTGTCAAGTCATAATGAAATTCAGCTTGCAAGCTTCTCAGTTTCAGTTTCAATCATCGTCTCGGCCTGTAAATAATGGGAGGGTTTGTCCCTGTCAGTTGTACCCCCTGTGAGTCATTTGCATTCTCTGGAATTGAGTCGCTGTTTGGTTTACCCGTCTACTGTAATGACTCAGTGGCAGTTAGACCATGACCAAAGCTTTTTTTTTTTTTTTTTTTTTCAGTAGAAGTTCAAATAAGGAAACAGACGAGTCCTGTTTTTGCTGGATGTGCTGAATAAACACTCATTGTTTTCTTTTTTCACAGCATAATGCAGAAAATAAGACATGCTAGCAGGGAATGTCAACATGCCCTGCTGCCAGAGCATGTCCCTCCCTTCGTGTTTGCCGTATTTACCCACCTGCCGCTTCCTCGACAGGCGATCTTCTTTGGCGGCATCGACCCGTCCATCAGAGGTGAGGTGTGGCCCTTCTTGCTGCACTACTACAGCTACGACTCCAGCTCTCAGGAGAGAGAGGCCTGGAGGCTGCAGAAACGAGCTCACTACCATGACATCCAGCAGAGAAGGTGGGTAACGAAAAAATGCTGCACAATCAATCAATCAATCAATCAATTAATCAATCAATCAATCAATCAATCAAAACACATTCTCTTACAACGCTTTCTCTACACGAGTGAAGAGGGAGCAGGAAGAAGAAAATTCTTGTAGAAACCTGCCCCTCTTTCTCAATATCTACAAAATACATTTTTCTTTGCTGCAAACATTAAATTAATGATATATTTAATTCTCCTCATTGTTAACTCAAAAGGTAATCAGGCTTACTCATTTTTTTTCTTTTTCTTAAAATATTACTGGAAGGTGGAACAATGTTGTTGCATATAGAGTGGTTTGTCTCAAGCATTTGTTTCTGTTGAGGCTTAAAGCTAATGAAACTCAAATTGATGTTTCCGAAAAAACTGAAATATTACGCATAATATTAAGGTTGGTAAGAAAATATCCTTACCTTGAGGTATGACCATGTACTGCATAGGTGAAGGACTCAATACTTGGTCTGGGCTCCTTTAGCAGAAAATACTGCTTCCTTAAGCTGTGGGATGGAAGCGATCAGCTGAACATGTAATTAATCAATTAATCGCATGATAAATTGAAATGAGTTTGATAATTTCCGTTCTGATCATTAATACTTTTTAAAAGGAAAATCTGTTTATAGAGGCGTCATAATCATTTTTATTTATGGTTTTAGTTGTGCTTTAAAAATATCCTTCAGTTCCAGTGTTAAGTGTTCTTTACAAAATAAAAGTTTATTGGTCTTTGAGAGGGAAAACTTGCGTTGTTATGCCATTATCAGTGTGTTACTTGAAAATGGTCTCAAAACAACAGTAATTTTGTTATAATTAGTGAGACGACTTATTGTCCAGTAAAATTTCCTATTGCGACAAGCCAACAATACAACTGAATGTCAAGTTAGTTTGCATAACATGTAGTTCTCTTTCTATAAAACAAAATGTCACAGTCAGCCGCTCAAATTGGTCATGATTTGATTGTAAATTGTAATTTAACTGGATAAATAACTACTGTACACAAGCTTCCTCTTTCCCCGCAGGTCAGTGGGCTACATCAGTAATCCACAGTGAAGTGTTTTTTCCCCCCTCTGTGTTTCTGTCCAGATTTATTCATTCATGGCTCCACTTGTATTTTGCACCACTGCAGAAATCCCCTGAACCACATGCTGAGAGGACTGGTGTGTGTCTGGATAAGTTGGCAAATAAAAAATGAAAGCGGGTCATAAAATAGGACAAAACAGAAATGAATAGACATTTTTATTTATTTATTTTTTTTAAAGTTCTAACTTAATATCGAGCATCTGCTACAACTCACAACAATGATTGTTAACCAGGCACCTCCCAAGGTCCAAGGCACATTATTCACTATGAAGACATGGCTTATGCGGTTTCTGGTTCAGGATTGATTTCAGGATGTATCCCACTTCCTGAATGGTTTTGTGTCTTGTGCATTTTAAAAAAGCCAACTGGATCTGAAGTAATGGCTTTGTGAATTCATTAATTGCATTTGTGCCACGGTGTTTTCCTTGGTGCTGTCGTAACACATTTTTGTTCCACAGCTTTTCCTTCCACTTAACTTTCAATTAAAAGCTTAGGCACTCTCAACATCCAATGTCCTCCATGACTTTTTCTTCCTAGTGGAGGTTGTGTGTTTGACAATTATCAAATCATTAGTTTTCCCCACAATTTCTCTATTAAAGCACATTTTTGTTGCTCTTATGTCTATAAAACTGAATTTTAGATTTTCATTAGTAGTAAACCATAATTATCAAAATGAACACAATATCACCGTGTATGCAATGAGTGACTTGCATTCTAATGTATAAGGATGCACCTGTAAATCTTTATTTAACTTGAAGGTCTCCTGCTGATAACATCTGCACCTCGGCTCAATAACATGGAAACCACTTTGAAATCATGTCTGAGACACTCGGCTGCAGCCTCTGGCTGCCAAAAGCTCAGTCGGTAAAACATTAAACCGTACGCGAGTCTGTTGTGGCTTCCCATCGCAGGCGCGGAGCAATCAATAGGCACAATCAGAGAAGTGTTGAGGGGAGGTGCCGGGTGTGATATAAAAGGTCTCTGGAGAGAAAACATGTCGGCGCTTATCACATCAGATCATGCTCACATGTCGGCGAGAGGGGAGGGGAAAAACCACAACTTTGGTATGCACAGACGGACCCAGATCCCAGAGTCTTTACTTATCCACACAACTCCGTCTCAGGGTTAAGGTTTCCAGGTTCTAGGTCTCTGCATCTCTGACTGCTACGACGACGATAATTGGACAGATTTCATTTGTACAGGCTATTATCGCTTTGAGTGCACCAGAAGTCGCCTAATTAGACTCTTCATTCTGACGCTGATGTTGATTCCTTTAAAGAGCCTCCGGCAGCCCTCCAAGGCCACCGATTGATCATTAGGAGCAAGGAGGCGAGTGTGTGGGCTTTACCTTGTCCCCCAACCCTGTGTCCTCATTCTAACAATAATAACTCAGCAGCTGCACATAGGAGTGCAGCTAACATTGGACATAATCTGAGTGTTTGAGTTTGTTAGAATTTGTAAAATAATGCCGTTTATGTCAGGAATTCACCGAAGCTCCAATATGAGTTAAATTTGTTTCAGAGAAGAGGAAGGTCATTTTCACCTGCAAGTATTTTTTTTATGAAAAAGATATCTGCAGAAACATTCAGCTGAATGTCACGGTTCCTATGTCCTTTATTTTCTCGTTTTATATAAATAATAATAAAATAATCTTGTTTGAAACACTTTATCTGGTTTCCTTTTCTCTGTAAATAATTATCTGACATTGGGCTCCTTACTGGCTACTTCATCTGCTAAATATTTACAGATTTCTTCTCGGAAAGTTATTGTTTATCTTTTGTTTGTGTTTTTCTCACCTTAAGATGTTTCTTTCTGTTTCTTTGACACGGAAGATCTGGTCTACTGATGAAGAGCTTTATTTTTCAGGCAGAAAGTATGTCTTAATGAAATGACATGAAGATTTTCACTGCAGTTTTTCAGTTTCTGTGACGGTTTTCATGTTTCACTTGTGAAAAATGCAGTAAACAAATTCAGCCATAATGTCGCACCGATGTAAAGCTGCAGGGGAGGATTTACATTAGTTTTACAAATAAAAATCCAAAAACTAAGGCATACATTTGTACTCTGATATAAGCAAGTTCATCCAAATGCCATCAGAAGTCACCTGACCTAACTGAACTGTTGGGTCCACACGCCAAACAAGGGTGTTGAGGAGACAGATGTTTCCTGTCCACCCGTTACAAGCCACCCCCACTGTGAGAGACGGCGGTGGTGGCATCATACTGAGGGGTTCGGCTTCTCCATTTTTAAGAGGGAAGCTGGTCACAAATTATGGGAAGACAGAAGAGGATACAAGATGAAATACAGGAAGAAAACCTTAAAGAAAAGTGACAAACTTATCCAGAGATACATGGAATGGCTTAGATTAAAGGATTCTTATGTGTTGTAACGGCCCAGTCAAAGTCCGGGCGTGAATCCAATTAAGATTCTTTAACGAGGTTTAAAAATTGCTAAAGGCTTCTGTCGGAGTTTGAGATACTTAGCAAAAATATTTCAATCTCATACACATTTAAGATTTTTATTTTTTTGTGTGTGTGTGTGAAAAACTGGAATCTTTTTCCTTCCTTTTCCTAGAGATGCTCTGCTGTGTGTTGGTCTGCCCCTTTAAAATACACAATAGCAGCATCACAAAAAAGTTTAAAGTGCAGGGACACTTTCGCAAGGCAGTTTGCTGAGCTAATCCGTCCTCTTCAGGAGCCTGGATTTTATTTTTACTGCTGAACCCATAAAACCACTGAAGTGGTGCAAACAATGTTCCAAACTCCTGAGCAGCTTCCTCCTGAGAAAGCGAAGCGTAGGACGGTGGCTGGGGAGGGTCCAGCGACACAAACACACAGATCTCAAACCAAACAGTTGCGCGGCGTTGCATCAGGTGCGCTGGCTTTATTCCTGGTGGGGCCGCATGGAAAACAAACAGTGTTAATTAAATCCCCTCTGCTTGTTAGGACCTGAGTACATTGGTACACACGGAGGACGCCGGTAATGTGCTGCCAAACATCAGGGTGGATGGCTGCGGTGGGATCCTCGGAGGAACGCTCGGGTCCACTGCTCATATTTTTTGGGGGGACCTTCTGCAGCAGCTATGAGGAGCAGAATAGCAGCAGAGTCATTTCCATGTGTTTATGATGATTATAGTGCATTAAGCATCCGTTTGTTTTGTTTTTTCCCCCTTTATAATCGGTTCCCGCTCCATTTGCTTGACTCCTCAGATTATCCATGAGCCCAGAGGAGCACAGCGAGTTCTGGAGGAAGGTCCAGTTCACGGTGGATAAAGACGTGGTCAGAACGGACCGCAGCAACCACTTCTTCAGAGGAGAGAACAACCCGAACGTGGAGATCATGAGGTTTTCCCAACATCCCTTTCTGTCCGTCACCCTCCATCGTTCCCACCCGTCCGCTCGACGCTCAGCCTCACCTACACCGTTTATTTCATAATATGCAGAGCCGCAAATGAGTTCCATGCTTTGTTGACTTTGACTAAGCCGTCTGAGCACTTTCGACTCGTACTTGCGGCTAATGGCTTTCTAAATGAGGAGCGAGAGGATTTAAATGGGGGAATTAGTTATTTTTGCGACTCTCGTTGAGGCTCCTGGTGTTTTTGTCTGGGAGTGATTCTACATCTGAGGCCAGCCTGTGGTTTTCTAGCGCTGATAAGTCGCACCCATGTTTGTCTGGTTCATTTACTTTCAAACTGCTGCGGAGCTGAAGGTCCTGATGTCCTTGTTTAGAAGAAACTCATCAAATTTTTACTCTAATGCTGCACTAGAACAATGTAATGTCCTCTGGGTTTTGGGCTTTGTTTGTACTTTCGTTACTAATGCATGAAGACGACCGGGGAAGTTTTCTTCAAAGTAGAACAGGTCTTAAAAAAGAAGGAAGAAAGAAATAGCAGTAATTAGCTCCCTGGTTGCAAGAAGAGGGGAAAAAAACGTGTGGGAAGCGGGGAGGGGTGGTATTGTTGTGTTATGTTTCCCTAATGAAAGACATTCAAAGTGTTTGGGTTGGAGGAAAACTTTTCAGGGCTTCCTCTCCCGTTTGGCCCTGTTCGTTAGAAGCTCCCTCAGCAGATGTTACGTCAGAACTCAGATGTGTGTGTTTGTTCTCGCCCCAGGCGGATTCTGCTCAACTATGCGGTGTTTAATCCCGACATGGGTTACTGCCAGGGCATGTCCGACCTGGTGGCCCCCCTTCTCACCGAGATCCAAGACGAAAGCGACACGTTTTGGTGCTTCGTCGGCCTCATGGAGAACACCATCTTCATCAGCTCCCCGCGTGACGAAGACATGGAGAGGCAGCTGGTAGGAGAGTCTCTATGGTAGCCACAGGCAGCAGTTTCTAAACAGTACATAGGCCTGTCGCAATAAACAATAAATCAGTTAATCGCATTGAATCTCTAACTTTCGTTTGCTTGATTTATTGTTTTCTCTTTTCTCTCTCTCTCTTTTCTTTTTTTTAACCAAAAACTGAATGACAAGTCTTTCAATCTGGTGCTTTGGTCTCAACTATCTCTCTCTCTCTCTCTCTTTTTTTTTTTTAAATAATTTTTTGTTTACACAGACTTCATAATTCATTTTATTTGTCGTTTCTGTTGTTTTCTGTACTTATTTTGGATATTTCAAATGTCTTCCAGTTCCAGTGTTTAAATGCTCATTAGAATTTAAAGTTTACTGATCCTTGAAAATGTGTTCTTGCGTTATGATGGCATTATTGCTGTTATGTAAAATGGTCTCAAAACAACAATATTGTTGTTTATCGCGATAAGTTCTGGGATAATTGATCGTCCAGCAAAATGTGTTATGGTGACAGGCCTATAATCACTGCCATTCAAAACTATTCAAACCCCTTGATGGTTTTTTGATGTGAACGTTGATGTGTTTCAGGGGGGGATTCTATAAAAAGATAAAAATGAAAGTGTGCTGTGCAGTGTTGCCACCTTTCACTGCAATTCCTGCTGCGTGTCTTCTTGTCTTTAACTGATTTACACATTTTGATACCAACATTTTTTTTTCCCCATTTTTCTTCGAAGAACAGTTCAAGGTCAGTCAGATTAGACTGACTTAATCTGTGAGCAGCAATTTCAAGATTTCTTTCACTGATTTGCTGGAAGGTGAACCTCAGCCACAGTTTTATGTTTTTAGCAGCCACTAACACAGGGGTCTCACACTCTAGACCCCTAGAGTTCCTGCACCACAGATCTGAAATGTGTCTGAAAAGCTAAAAATGTGAAAAGCTAAAAGGGAATGAAAACACTAAACATTTAACATGCTTTTCGGACCATCAAGCCCATCTCCTCTCCACGATAGACTTTGTACTTTAGCCTTTAAGTGTGTTTTTTTAAAGAACCCTCAATGTGGTAAATAGTAAATGATTCACATGTTTATAGTAGCCCTTTAACCTTTAAAGTCTACAATGAGGTTTTCAGTGTTTTTCTAAAATTTGAAGCTTTGGCCCAAAGTTAGAGTTTGGGACGGATAACAGTTTAACAAAAACAGCTAAAATAAGCAATTTTGTCTCGTTTAGTTGACTTATTTGCAATGTTTGTATATTTCACCTAGCATGTGTCAAAGTTGTAATGTGGAAATGTAAAATGTTCTGCAGTTTTGTATATGAAATCATCAATAAGTGATTACCTGATCGGGTCATTGCTTTAATAAATTTGAAGCTGATGTGCAAATGTGACACTTTTGACACAAATCCGTGCCAATTTTATCTTGGGTGTCAGCACAAGCTTAAATAATCACTGAAAAGTACATGACGATAAATGATTTTTATCAAAAGTCCCAAGAAAGTCATTTAACGCTCATGTGCAGACATATAAGCTGTTCGACAAGCTGTTTCCGACCATCAACTCGGCCGGTTCCGGTGCAGAACGGAGGAAAATAACTTGTCGATGTGCAGATGTACCTGCGGGAGCTGCTGCGCCTCATGCTGCCGCGGTTCCACCAGCACCTGACCCGGCTCGGAGAGGATGGCCTGCAGCTGCTCTTCTGCCACCGCTGGATCCTGCTCTGCTTCAAGAGAGAGTTCCCCGACACAGAGGCGCTGCGCATGTGGGAGGCCTGCTGGGCGCACTACCAGGTCAGGACAAAGTCCAAACTGATCCTCCGCATGCACAAAGTAGAAAGATGAGGTTTGCATACGCTGGTAAGCGATACAGAGGAATGTAGTGGTAATTATTCATTTCTTTTTTTTTGCCACTTTAGAGTGTGTAGATTTTTCCAGGAAGTGTGCAGGAATGAAACAGAGCTATAGTCTGCAAGGAAAAAGTAGGACGAGTTCTTTCAAAAGCCTGACTTTGTAATCCTGTTGAGTGAATGTAAAAATGGTCTATTGATATTTAAAAAAATTTAATTCCATTGTTAAAAACCGGTTGGATTTAAGACTTTGCATATTTCACATTTCTACCGCCTACTATGCAACCATATTCATTCTTTAGATGTAATTTAATTTAAGGGTGACTGCTGTTGGTGTATTTTGCTCGGTGCAGTTCCACGTCTTTTGAAGCGCTGGAAACTTGTAGCCACGATGCGTTCCTTGTGTTTAACACTCCCACTCACTGAGGCCGAGTCAAATGCCTTTGCTTCACGCCATCTGTTCAAACACCCTGCGAGATGTTCGTATCTGCTGCTCCAGGTGGCAATAGAGCAGATAATGTGTTTGCGTGTGTGTGTGTGTGTGTGTGTGAAACCTCGGGTTAGACAGTTAAAAGTCATGCAGCAGTTGAGCTTTAAGTAAGAATTTCTGATTGGTATCAGATTTTTCTGTGAAGAGGACGTTTCATGTCGCACTGGGTGGCAGCGGATTGTTTTCTACTGTTCTCGTGTGAATTAAAGTTTGCAGAGCAAACTGTCATCGGGTTGGGCTTAAAGGAGCAAGATGCAAACTGAGAAACTGATAAAATACACACAAATATTTGTACTAATAAAATAAAGTAATTTTCTGCACTTGGTCTTAGATTATATTTTGTTTAGTCTTTATATTGTTGTGGGTTTTTTGTGCTTTTCTCCCTGTATTGGTTTAAAAATCTGGGATTTGTAGTTTTCCTTTAGGATTTAGATGTTACTGTTAAGTAAAACTACAAATCCCATCATGCAGCGAGGCAACAATCCAAAATGTGCTCAGACATTCAACGTTCCCCACAAGCCTGCAACGTAGCTCTGCTCCCAAAATAAATGTGTGCAGATTTAATCAGGCTTGTCTGGGTTAAAATCGGTCATCAATAAATGTTTTAAAGCATATTAATATTAAGGTGCATGTAGAAAAGAAATCAGTTGCAGATTTAACTGACCTTGCAGTTTCCTTTTAAAATTTCTTATCAACTATTGATCCTCTTTGAGGCAGGGCAAAAATGTCCTATTCTCAGATCTGCTACATGATACTAGTTAAAAATTCAAATCTGGCCAATCAGAAGGTAAAAATCTCTAAACTTCAGTCACTGACATTTATCAAGTTTTTATTGTATTCCATTAAAGCCCGTTGGTAGTGTTAGGAACCACAAGAACTGTGTTGAATCGGTCTGACAGGACGTCGGGCGCTAAGCCTGCACATCCTGCTCCATTCATCTTCTCCCTTTGACCCCACTCTCCGTCTTTGTAGACGGACTACTTCCACCTCTTCCTGTGCGTGGCCATCATTGTCCTGTATGGGGAGGACGTGACGGAGCAGCAGCTCGCCACCGACCAAATGCTGCTGCACTTCAGCAACCTCTCCATGCACATGAACGGAGAGCTGGTGCTGCGCAAGGTAACGCTGCTGCTTCTGTGTCGGCATGCTTTGTCCCTCCTTGTTGTTTCATTCACCAGCTGATCGGCAAACTGCAAGTTTCCACACTCGACTTTCTATTCAGTTTTCAAAAAAAAAAATAAAAAAAAAGTTTCATCCATTTGTAAGTTGGCATTTTTAAAAGTGGGGGATCAAACTTATTTTTTGGATATATATATATATATATATATATATATATATATATATATATATATATATATATATATTTTATTATTATTTATTTTTTTTTTCTCAAAGAAATCTGATCATTCCTCACAGTCCAGATTCTTCATCCTTTTAGTATTTATTTTAATATAGCATCAAAACATAAATACAAGTATTGAAAATAATTGCAAAAAAAATTTCAGTTCAGCCATCCTTCTTTCCAGAATCAACCCGTCCAGGGTTGATTCGATCCACATCCCTTTGTAAAAGTCAATAAACATGATCAGACATCTATCTGTCTGCAACGTTTCCTCCTGATGTAATTTAAATTCACTTTAGTCTGCACTGAAGAGTCCTGCCTGGTGCTGCAGCAGAGTAAGAATAGGATGCAGAGGATTAATGATCTGACCGCTCGCTGCAGTCGCTGTTCCTGCTGCCTCATCTTTATGGATGCTGTTTGTGCTGCACATTTCTGTTTGCATGCAGGTGTCGTAACGCGTTTTGTTGATGCTTGAGAATTGTGCATACGATAACCCAGCAGCGGGCATGCGAGCTTTTGAGATACAGCGAGAAGAAAAGACAGAAAAAGAAAAAAAAACAAAAAAACTCCACGAGACTGACCTTGACATTCTTTTGTTATCTTGTAGCCAAGAGATAACGGGAGCATTGATTTATTTCAATGCATGCATCCGCAATGTTTGCCTTCTCTGACAGGCCAAAGTGCCTCTCCTTGAGCTTGCTTCCCCTCATCGCGCTCGCCCCTCTCTTCCAGGCCCGCAGCCTCCTCTACCAGTTCCGCCTCCTTCCCAGGATCCCCTGCAGCCTGCATGACCTCTGCAAGCTGTGCGGCCCGGGGATGTGGGACAGCCGCTACATCCCCACGGTGGAGTGTTCAGGCGAGCACCCAGACTCCCTGAGCTGCCCCTATGGAGGCACCTCCACCCCACAGCCCTCTTCCCCCTCGCTGTCGTCCTCTCCAAACCACACACCCACGCCGGACGGCAAGAGAGGCTCCAAAAAACGGGACATTTTCACCTTCCGGAAGCAGTCCTGAGAGGGGGTTAGCTTCTGCTATTACTTTACTATTCTTTTCAGTATCTACAACAAGATTTTTTTCCTTTTTTTTTGTACTTGAACTGTTCATTTGGTGCATTGTTGAACACTGCCTTACCTGGGCGTTGCTGTCGACGTTCAGCATCGCATGAATCTGCAACGAGGGCAGCTTGCAGTCAGACGGATCGGAGGTCAAGAGGCTGCTTTCTCCTCGGAGCAGAACAGACAATCACCAGGCGCCGTGTCGATCTGGAGCCACTTCAGGTTCAAGTCTGCTGCTGGTTTGGCATTCTTCCACAGGATAAGCGGGCACCGGGGAGGTCACTGCGGGGTCATCGCGCAACCGACGCGCTCTCCGACTCCGACGGGTCAAAAAGCGAACTGGGGGCGTCTTTCACAGAACTTGAACTTGGACTCTTAAAAAATGTTTTTGGGTTCTCACAATGGCATAATTGTGTGGATGTCAAATATAATGTGCGTATTTAAAGTCTGAGCGTCTTTTTGACATCGAATCCAAACTCTTTGTGTTAAAGAAGTAGTGGAAAAAACATTTGTCTTTAGTTTTTGTTTTACGAAAAAAAAAAAAAAAAGAAGAATGTTTTTGTTCTAAATATTTAGCAATATTATCTTTGCATGAACAATTCTTTACATATAGAGGTCACAACATATTTGTTGTGAGGGGGTGGGGGGTGAAAAAAAATCCCAAACAGAGGCGAGTGTGTTTATGTGACAAACACTAGCATCACCACAGGGCTCCTCTTATCTTCCCATCCTATACGTTCTCTTTCTTGAACAGAAAGAGCATCAACATTTGCACATAAGCACCATTAATTGTAAAGTATCTGTGAGTAAAATACTGAATTTATTTAGTAGCAGTTTCACCAAAGATACGGTGCTTTACAGAAGAATTCCTGCCTATTGAAATGTTTCACATACTGACAAGTTGCAACAACAAACTTGAGTGTGTTTTATTGGTATCTTTTGGGTTATGTCAAAACAAAGCGGTGTCTATTTATGTAGTCATTGTTTTAGTTTTGCGGAACCTAAAGCTTTGACTGGTTATCCACTGCTGACCCTGGAATTTTTGCCCTTTTGTCTTTGCAGAATATATTTGCAAGTCATTCAGGTTGGGTTTGTACATACCAACCCAGCCAACTGCAAACATTAGTCAATCATTTTCCTTCCACTACATAATTATGTATTACTTTATCTTAGTGAAATTCCAATAAAATACACCAAAGTTTTTGGATGGTGTAACAAAATGCCCTCAAGTCGCAGGAGGTATGAATATTCTTTGCAAAGCGCTGTAGATCAGGTTGTTTTCGGATCACTTTTTCTATTCTGCTTGGATTTTCATCCTTGGTGTTTTGAGCTGTTTTCCGTAGCTTCCCAGCACTCCCAGCCCCATCTTTACACTAAGTACACGAAAAGGCACACGAGTCTAACGAGTCCACGTGAATGTAGCTTTTCACATCAACACAACGAAAATCACGCAGACGCGTGCGACTGTAAACTGAAGTTACTGTTGCGACCGTTTTCCGAAAACGCGTCGAGGAAAGTGGAGCAACGAGCCTGTCGTTTCGGCTTCATCCAGGGAGAAACTATAAATTAACGTTGCCTCAGGTGTGAAGAAGATTTCCCCTCGAGGAGCCTTTGAGTGACACCCGCAGGATTGTAACATCTGCAAAACGCTGCTATAATGTACCACAGATTCCTTTAATCAGCCTTCCAGCAGCTTTGCAGATAAATTGTACCTGCTTCTTCTTCTTCTTCTTCTTCTTGTTCTTCTTCTTCCTCTTCTTCTGCTTCTTCTTCTTCCCATTAGCTATCATGAAGTGCTTTAAATGGCATGGAGGCTGTCGTGAAGGTGATGATGGGCGATGTTCAGAGGGTGACCTCATGGATTTATTAACATTTAAACCACGTTGTTTACACAAAAGCCACCAATCCACAGTTGTTATTGCTGACTTGCCTCTTTTGGAAAGGGGTTGTTATTATGAATTGTGGTCATGAATGTAAAACGTTGCTGTTTTTCTTTTCTATATTATGTTGACGTATTACTGCACACCTCACGAGAGAGTTAAAGGCTATTCTTATTACTGGTGTTAATAAAAACATCATCAATAAACTGCATTTGTGCTTTTTGTGACTCAACGCTGGGTTTTTCTTTTTTGAGGAGGAACGTCACAATTATAATTTAATGAGCCACTCTTCAAAATTGTTTTTTTTCTGTTGTCTTTCTATTCAAGTAAGGAAGGATGCACATAGTATTAACAGTAAAACGTATCGATACTTTTCCACATTTTTCCGATCTAATCAAATTCGTGATACATTTTTTTCTCAGTTGTATGGTGTGAGGTTATGCTGCTGCAGTCCGAGATGAATTTATGTTTTTATCCTTTTTTTTAGTGGTGGCACCATTAATAGTTTACCATGCTTTGTTGACTGATCTGAAATTACTATATCAAAGAATAAACTGTCAGGATTAATCCCTTAGAGATATTTAGAACTCTCACAAAAAAAAATTATAAAACAATTTCAAGCTTTTGTCAAACTGTTTTTCAAATAAAATACTAATAACAAAAAAGCCTGGCCAATGTTTGAGCATTCATTTTTATTTGAATGAGGCCAAACTTATTTTTTTGTTCAATAAGAGGTTGGGAAACAGGTCATACTTCACAGCGACAAAGACTAAAGAAATAATAATAAAAAAAAACAACCTGAAATGCCTCATCAGTGGTACAAAGGAACACTTTGAGAGTGAAAGACGGATTTTTATTGTAAATTTGACTAGTAAGGAATTCAGACAGCAATGAAAGCTTTTTGAGTGAGAGAAGAAAAAATTCGTCCTTGCTTGAAGGGTTTTCTTTTTAGAAGATTCTGAAGACAAATAATTCGATAGCGGCTGCCTGCAGCAGCAAAACGCTTCTTGATCAAAAGAAAAGCTCGAAGGGGCTGATTTGCGATACCAAATATTCTTTATCCATTTTTCAGTTTTTAATTATGCCGTTCACATTTTGCATATGTGCTATTGTTTGACGCAGAATCCTTTAGTGTGCTAATAAATCTGAATACTGCTAAAGAATATTCGGACATAATGAAACGCGTTTCCCTTTCACCGATTCCTGGATGTTCTCAAACAATTTATGGTCGTTGTTTCTAATTAAGTTGAGGTTGCAGCTCTGGATTCTGGCGGAACCTTTCCAAAACAAACGTTCCTCTCCGGAAGTTATTCTTTTTTTGAGTTTGATTAAATGCTTAGGCTCACATTGACGACGAGAAACGAAATGTCTCTTCCATTTGCTTAAAATCGAGCTTTGTTAGTAATTACATATAAACACTGTGTTTTTGAAACTTTTGTAAAAAAAAATAAAAATAAAAATTAAATATAAATGCATGTTTACAATATATTCTTGTATTTACTTTGAATGCCAAAGATATCTGCAAGATCTGCTTTACCTCATTTTTGGACTGAAAGTTTTTAATCAACCTACATCTGGGTTGGTCCATAATTTATAACCAAACTAGGTTATTTAGTCAGCCTTTAAATAGGTTTGACAATCAAATGAGGAGGGTTTTTCTCTCAAAGGCTTGCCTAGTTTTAATGTAATGATTATTCTTTAGGATTAAGCGTAGTAACTGTAATTTAGTTGTTTCTTATGAATACATGTTGTTTTGTGTTTGTTTCCTTGTCTGTGAAACCAGTTTTACCTGACTGGAAAAGAAGAGTTGCCAACTTCCTGAAATTGTTTCCAACCACATGTTACTAAGATTTAAAATGCCTCAGGCAAAGGAGGAGAAAAAACTAATTTACTTTCTACCCTAAAATACTCTGGTGAGGGGCCTGCTGCCTTCACATAACAGACACATTTATCTTTCAAGATGTTTCTAGTGGCAAACAAATGTTGGTTTTCAATTAACCCTAAAACTTTGACATTATTTCTTGCACCTTCGCTGTGGTCATTCACTCCTCTACGCAACCGCTCGCGTCGACATGAAAATGGCTTCTGGTTTCCTGTCCTTTATCTCTGGAAAGACGGAAAAGATGAGGCGTGAACTCTGCCTCGCATGGGATTTGCATTCCAGCTATATGACGAGCAACGAGCTGGGAGGCCTAACATGAGGGGGAAAAAAAACAAAAAAAACAGCAGTAGCAGGAGTCGGACGGTGTGTTTCCCAGAGTTTAACCCTTCAGTCTTATCAGCACTGCTGTTTGCTGTGGCTCTTTGACAGTCTGTGTGTGATGGCTCAGGCGCATGACAGCAACCAACCGCCTGTCACAGACAGCTGTGGAGATGCTATCAGGCCTTGTTATCAACTGGCTGGTTTCTCAAAAATGCGAGCAGGTATTTGGGTTGACAGGTGTCTGCGGGGAGTGACTCCGCTGGTGCGCGTGTTTTTGTTCAGTCACTTTGTCGTTTCAGGAAAAAAAAAAAAAACAACCATTTAAAATGTTTTTCTCTGGAAACTTCAAACACTAATGACTTTATTCTGTGACTAAGCAGAGAAGTGTTTTGTTTTTTTATATTCCCTCAGTCTTCCTCTTTTACACCTTTGATGACCAATGTTGGCCATAAACAAAATGAAAATCAGATGGAAGTTTTTTTTTTTTGTTTTTTTTTTCAATAACCAGGGATCTCCGGTGTCTTTAGGGGAAATCCTGTACTCCAGACATGATTATTCTTTTGTTTAGTAACCCTGCTGCTTTCTGTTGCTGTGAGCCAACCTGCCGTTAATTGCCATCCATTAGCATTGGAACAATGGCCATCCATTGGGATAATGCATTTCTGTTTGAAAAGACTGAATGTAAAAAATATCACCTCTTAGTCCATTTTGTTACGTTTGTAACTTTTGATATTGACTGTGTTACTCAGGTAGCTTCCAGAGGCAATTTATTGCACTACATTTTACTTAGTGGTATGACAGCAAAGGTGGCTGAATACATTTTTAATATGATTTTAACAGTTTCCACAGATTCTTAATTGGTCTTGGTTCTAGACTTTGACTGAGCCATCTCCTTACATGAATAAGATTTGTTCTAAACCAGTCGTGTCCCACTGTATTCCTTGAAAGCTAACATCCTGTAACCTTTGGGTAGTAGCTTTGTACGACTGGATTTGGTCACCTTGATCTAAACCAACCCATTGTAGCTAAACTCCAGTTTCTAGTCTTTTTCCATCAGGTTTTCCTCCAGTGTTTCTCCAGTATTTAGCCCCATCCATCTTCCCATCAGCTGTAACCGGATTCTCCATCCCTGCTGAAGAGAAACGTCCCCACAGCACGACGCTGTCCCCACCGTGTTTCACAGTCAGAACTGTGTGTGGTCTTTAGAAAACATCTGTTCTCATTTTAAGATTAAATTACACACAGGTTGACTCTTTTTGCCAATTAGGCGACGTCTGTCAGGTGTTAGAGTAAAAAGGGGCTAAATGTACTGATTGTCCAGGCCAGACTTTTACTCATGAAAGATTTTAATAGCTATTTCTATTTTTTTCTACTTTACAATTACGCAATAATTGCGTTATTTGCATCATAAAAGCACATTAAATGTGACAGTGTTCTAGCGCTGTAAATACTTTATCAAACCGCAGCACTTAAAAGCAGACGTTGCATCAGTTTGTCGGCCCCTGCCGAAGCCGGTTCAGTTATTTTCATGCTCCGTTAGATTAGAAAAATTTCATTGCATCATTTTGACTGATAGCATCTGTGGCCTAACAGTGAAATATGTATGTACTTCAAACGACATGTCTAACCTGTGGGGCTATATGTGCCACAGCCTCTCCATTGTTCCCTCCACTATCACACTCACACACTATCAGTGACCTACGCAAAGCACATGTGGAGGCTCTTTGTGTTGCGCTGCAACTCAAACACTCTGGCTCTGCTCTATCGTCCTTTTGCATACACACCACACTGGAACCTCTCCGAGTGCCGCTCTGAAGCAACCACTTCTTTCTTTCACCCATCAAATAAATACTCTCATTGTCGCGCTACTGCCCCCTCCTCCTCCTCAATTTTCCAGTTTCCACATCCTCCTCCAACCGGGTGACAGTGTGGGGGCCTGGCTGGTCCCCTGTCACAAGGCCAGCACTGAATGTTGGGTTATTACCCCCTAATTATCAATTACTGCACTCAGCTTCCACACCTGGAGCAGGCCAGGCTGGGAATGAGCTTAGCCCCATTAGGATGGACCTCTGGCTGGGCTGTTTATGAAGGGGGGGCTGGGCTTTAACCCTCTGGAGGTGTTAATGGGTCTTTCAGGGGTACTGTCAGTAGGCTGGTTCACCAGGGCGTCTGACACCAGAGGAAGTAGATGCGAGCTGAAATGCTACACAGAATATGCCGTTTTATTAACATTTAATTTCCCTCTTGGGTTAATGAAGTATTCTTGAGTTGAGTTTTGGATTGAATGCAATCGGAGCGCAGCCCTTTCTAAAAGAGTGAGCATTCCCATGATCTTACTGCAACTCCCATTTTGAACAACATCTACATTTCTGATGTAACGTGTGGCTGTTTGCATTGTGGTTTATGCAAAACAGCCATACAGACAGACAGAAGAAGGAAATTAATTTAATGGCAAAAATCTAGAGGTTGTTTTGAACGGAGCTGGACTTTTTCACTTGAAGAACAAACAGAATGTAATGTCTTTGTGTTTGTTGAAGCAAATTCCAGCGTAATGGAGATCCTCAGCAGCGATCACAGCCCCTTTGTTTTAAAGTCAGCGGATGAACGCGTCTCGTTTCAGGAAGAGATTTACATATTCAAAAAGGCTCGAAAAGAACGACACAGAGTCGAGGTTCACTTGAAGCTGTTTAAGAATTACAACATTTGATGTTAGACGAAAAATTTTAAAATGTCTTAGATATAACACAATCTGTTGTTTTGGCTTTATGAAAGATTTGGTTTGATAGTTTCTTATTTCCAAACAGAATACGTTACAGTCAGACTATTATCTTCTGGAATCATCTCTGGGTCTGAACTGTGGAGACAGAAATATAAATATGTCTACATTTAGACATTTAGACAGATTTAGACATCAGTCACACATTTACCCTAAAACCTTTTCCATTTGATAAAAGTAGTTGTTAATACTTGCAGTCTGTTAGGCCTCTGGATCCGGATACACTAAAAAGCGTTTTAT